GAGCACTGGATCTTACTCTGAGGCACCAATCTCAGTTTCTGACAAGGGGATGGGAATGTCTCCAAAGGAGTTAAGCAAGGTAAATCCCAGGTAAATCCCAAGACACCCATATCTATACATCAGGAGAGAAAGCCCGCAGTACAGATATTAAAAATGTGGGTTTTCAGGAGGCAGTTAGTGTCATGCAACTTCCTGGTAGGGTGTTTAGCTCTCCCAGAGGTTGTAGGTAAGGGACTGAAAAGCAGTATTCTCAACCTTTTTCTCCCAGAGAGTCAAGCTATAATATATCCCACCCTCCCGCAAGGGTTAACAAGAAGCCTTTTCTGTGCCCCTGACTTTGTCTTCCCCTTTTTCTATATTCTTGCTTCCTTGCCGAATCCATTTGCAAATGATATCACTTGTCTGCATATTGTCACTTGCCGCCTGCCCACCCATTTATCAAGTGTCTGCAGCTCAGCACAGGCTAGCCCTGTCCTCCCTGCACCATTGTTCCTCTTGACCCAGGGGAAGGTGTGTGTGTGTGAGACAGGGCGGGAAGATGGGTCTCCCACAGCACCGGGAGCCGGAGTCCCAGCAGTGTGGGCAGCGGCAGGCAGGCAGTGCAGCTGGGAAGACACAGTTACACGGGGAGACTGACAGCTTGCCCTCCCCGTCTGGCATTGACAGATGACCTTGCAGAGACAGCAGCCCTGGGCCTCCCCACAGACATTAGTTGATATAATGGGCTAGACTGGACATGCCATACTGAGAACGTAGGAGGTTGGTAAATCATCCCAGCAAAGTTGAAATAAACCCTGCCATTTACTTTCACAATAGGTTTTCCCTCAAACTCACAAACTTGTTTCTCAGTAACCCTAAAGCAAAATGATCATGGAATTTGAACACAACATTTACCAAGTCCTAATGAATAACATAATTATCACTTTATGCAAATCAAAGATCATTTGCATCTGTGAATATTTAACTATTAAAAACAACACTTTGATCTTGAATAAAAATATGTATATCACATAATCATAGCCTTATGGAACATGAAAACTATCTTTTTTCTTCCTTTTTTTTTTTAACTGCACAGTTTTGCTGTGCTCGGGCTTGCTGTTTGAACCTTCTCGGCAGGGATTCCATCTATGGATCTTCTTCCCCAGGGATGTCCACTGGGGTCTCTCGATGGCTGTCATCCAAGCTGGGTACATCAGACTTTTCTCTTCAGGTCACTTTGTCAGGAGCACTGCAGCCTTCTTTCAGTTTGCTCCTTTATCCTCTGGTACTGTCCACTTTGGTGTCAGGAGTGAACCCAAGCTCTGGAACACAGGAGTCCTGCTGTGTTACACACCACACCAGATACATTGCCAAGAGATGGGTACTTTATACATTAATTACAAAGTAAGGGAAGAAGTAAAATTCTACTTGCATATTTAAATTAAGCCACAGCAATGCAGATTTTTCTCTTGGGGAAAGATTACCAGGGATAACAGAGGAAGCATGACTCTTTCACAGGATATTTCCCCTCTGAAAGCTCTGAATCTTGTTCATGGGATAGCCTGGACACTTTGCCCAAGGATCTAGAAGTATCCACATGCCCAATACCCACTCATATCATCTTGAAATTGCTAAGTAGCAGCTCTTTGTCCCAGTCTGCAGATTCAAACCTTGCACTGTTAAATGATAAATATCCTGTTTTCATATACTAGAGCTATTATCACTGGTTGTTGTCCTGGGTTATGCTTCATTCACAATAAAAATTAAAGAAACCTTTACCTTCTCTGCAGAGATCTTCATAGGTTATTAAACCAAGTGAACTAATTATGTATAACTGGCAACTCAAAATTCCCCCAATGGCTGTCATTGATTATGACCCCTGATCAATGAGTAAGTGGCCACAAATGTGCCTACCAAACTGGAGTAAGTAAAGAATATCAGGGCATGGTGGCTTAACGTGCCTCGCCCAGAATGTGGCCTCTTACACACTGATGGAGACATCCCTTCTCTCCTTCTCTGCTCCCCTGCACCATCAACTCCTCCCAGCTCCAGGCTATCAATTACTGCCCTGCCTGCAGCAAAATCCTGTACTATAAGGGGGCCAGACAGGGACACAAAGTATGTGCTTGACACTAATTTAGCAAAGATGTAGGTGTTCACCTAGGAAATAACCCCACAGGTTCCAGCTCTTAGCTCCAACGCCTGCTTAAGTATTGCCGTGAAGGTTTTCCTAGAGCAAAGCTTGGTATCTATGCCTCCTTATTTCAGGTAATCTTGTAATCTTGCAGGGGGAGGGGGGGGGGGGGGAATCATGCTAAAATTCTTTTATTATTATATTATTTTTATTATTAGATTTTATTATTATTATCTAGCATCAGACCAGTGAAAAAGCCTTTTGCAGGACTGACTAAAGGAACCCCTCCTGAGGATACCCTGAGACTCTGTGGGCTCAAATGCTTTCTCATCCTTCCCGGAAACCAAACTTGGGTCATCCCCATCCTGGCAGAGCACACAACCACTGAGCTGTTGCAAAAACTGGGAGTGGTGAGGAAGAAAACAGGTGGTAGCACTTGCACCTCTTCTGATATTTTGTAAGCAAAGGCTGGTGCGGAAATTCAACTCCAGGACTGCCTGTAGTGCCGCGATTCCCAGTTGGACTTCAGTGACTTTAAAGTCTGCGCTGTTTAGAATTTGAGTGTTGGTTTGAACTTTGCAGTTTGGGCTTCAGTCTAGCAAGTGCATATTTTAAACAAAGAAAACAGTTGGCAAATAGTTGATTCTGCATTCAGGCACTGTCCCTCTGCTCCACATGATTTATTTTTAAAAGGGTCTAAGGGACACACATTTCTCTAAAAATAAAAGACATCCACACGAGGCTGAATTATTCCTTCCCAAACACATACTGATCTTTTGCTTGTTTCCAAGCACTTGACAAATTGTAACAACAAAGCTGCACCGTACCCCTTAAGTTAATGAGCTTATGACGGCACTTTTCGATCCTACCCCTTCCAGTCCCAAGACATACGCATGGCTCCTCTAATCCTTTTGTCCATCAGAATTGATATTGTGACCCCTGACTTCTGAAACTTTAAAAGTTACTGATTGCATTTCCTACCCACCATGTAAAATCATGAAGTCAATGACTAAGGCAAAAGCAAATGATTGGAGAAGGATCTTAATTATTTTTTTTAACTATCGAACTTCTTTTTGCAAAAAGCACAGGAAGAAGATCTTGTTCAAATCATTCAAGGCCTCTTAATGTGCATAGCTTACAGTTCAGTGATGTGTAAAACAGAAACTCCTGTAGGTCTGTGAAAGAGCCTAGAAATAGATACCAGCACTATTTTGATATTTTTAAGAGTGCCAAAAATCTTCCAGCATGTGGTGGGTTGACCCTGGCTGGACACCAGGTGCCCACCAAAGCTACTCTATCACCCCACTCCCTCAGCTGGACAGGGGAGAGAAAATATAAGGAAAGGCTTGTCAGTCAAGATAAAGGCAGGGAGAGATAACTCACCAATTACTGTCACAGGCAAACAGATCTGACTTGGAGAAATCAGTTTGATTTGTTACCAATCAAATCAGAGTAGGATGAGAAATAAAACCAAATAATAAAAAACTCTCCCCCAACCCCTTCTTCCTGGTCTTAACTTTAGTCTCGATTTCCCTGCCTGATCCCCAACAGTGGCACAGCGGGATGGGGTATGGGGGTTGTGGTCAGTTTGTCACATGTTGTCTCTGACACTCCTTCCTCCTCAGGGAAGGCCTCCTCACACTCTTCCCCTGCTTCAGTGTGAGGTCCCTCCCATGTGAAACAGTTCTCCATGAACTTCTTCAACATGAGTGCTTCACAGTCCTGGTCCCTTCCACAGGGTGCAGTCCTTCAGGAACAGACTGCTCCAGCATGTGATCCCCATGGAGTCACAAGTCCTGCAGCACACCTGCTTCAGCGTGGGTTCCTCTCTGCACAGGTCCTGCCAGGAGCCTTGCTAAAACATGGGCTTCTCACAGGGTCACAGCCTCCTTCAACCATCCACCTATGCTGGCATGGGGTCCCCTACAGGCTGCCGGTGGATATCTGCTTCACCATTAACCCCCATGGGCTGCAGGTGGATATCTGCTTCACCACTAACCCCAGTGGGCTGCATGGGGACGGTCTGCCTCACCATGGTGTTTACCATGGGCTGCAGATCAACCTCTGCTCAGGTGCTTGCACCTCTCCTCCCCTTTCCTCACTGATCTTGGTGTCTGCAGAGCTGTTCCTTTCACATACTCTCACTCCTCTCCAGTTTCAATTTCAGTATCCTGCACAGTAACTTTTTCCCCTTCTGAACTATGTTATCCCAGAGGCACTACCACCATTGCTGATGGTTTTGGCCAGTGGTGGGTCCATCTCAGAGCCACTGGCATTGGCTCCATTGGACACAGGGGAAGCTGTTAGCAGCTTCTCACAGAAGCCACCCCTGTAGCTCCACCCCGCCGCCCCCCAAAAAAAAACCCCACCTTGCCATATAAACCCAAAACACAGCATATGTTGAATAAGTAACTCTTCTGTTTACCTGCCCAACACAAAGCATCACCTCTGTGCTGTATGCATGAAATCAGTTTGCTGGGCTATCTCCCTCCTCCTCTGAGAGCTGCCCCTCAGGAGGACATCCAGAAATGACCAGCAGAAGTTTATGCTTGAGCATCTTGATTCAAAACATGTAGAGAAACAGGTGAAAGAGGATGTGAATGCAAAGTATGTTTGTCATTGCCCCCCCTCCCCCCTTTTTCAGAGGTATAGAACAATGAGGCCCAGATGTTATGGTTGCAGGAATGCTAAAAATTTCATAAGTTATTTTGCAGACAAGAAAAGCCACAGAAGGTCAGGCCAAACAGGCTTAGGGTTTGTGCAGGGCAGGAGCTGTTCAGAATGAATGTTTTTAGTGTGCAGTATCCATTACCAATTGATGTCAGAGATCCTCTTATAGATAGATCATCTAATGTTTTTTCTTAGAAGGCAGAAAAATAGCCATGGCAAAGTTTCAACACATGTATTTGAAGGGAAAGTTGGAGTTATGGAGACAGAACTTCTGTTTTGACCAGCTAAGAATGGCAAGTTTGAGCTAACCTGCTGTCTTTTGTTCCCATGGTAGAATGATTACCACTGAAAAAAAAGAAAAAAGTTGGAAAATTCTATGCTGTATAAGAAAAATCTTCTGGAGCTCTCTATTTCTGGATGATAAGTGAACCAACCCTGCTTTCATCTAGTAGCTTGCTGTCAAGTAAGCAGGTTTGAACACGCTTGGGTTTATTAGTACATAAAGTGCAGTGTGTGTTGGTCTGTGTTTCTAGGACAGTTTAAAGTTCAAGGTTATATCTAAGGCAGAACCACGTGGATAGTTTGCAAAGAACCACTAGCCTCCAGCAGCTTCCAAAAACTGCTGTGTTTGCTCAAAACGATAGCCAAACTATGGGCATACTGCTGTCTCCTGGCTCAAGAAGGAGCTGTGGCTTCTTTGCCAGGATGTTTCCCATATCACAGGGGTTTCCCATATTAATGTACCTACACGCCAGTGTCTGCAGTAGTGTCTGCTGGAGCTCCAATTACTCCAGGCCACATCTGAATCAGCGCCCCACCTATGTCCTCTGCTTTAACCCCTCTTGTGGCCTCCTCAGAAAAAGTTTCCTATCCCTTTTCCCTGACATCCAGAGTAGTTTTGGGAAAAGATCAAGCAGGTTTGATAGTCTGAGATAAAGATGCAAGGACCAGTAGGACTCTATTGTCCTCCAGGAGTGGAAACCTAGGTGCACCTCAGGACTTCAGTAGCTCTCATGCAGCACCCACCTCTGCCTTGGCCATTCCACTAACACTGTGGCCATTGGCAGGACATCAGCTCCCTACCCCTGCGGTAGAAGAACCATACACCCTTGGAATTTCCCCCTGTCCTCCCCATTAGTGCCAGCACAGCTGAAAATGACCTTCAAGCATTGTTTCCCCACTCAGAGCTCCTATTTCCAGTCCATCCTGCCATGCTGATCTGCCCATGGTCACCCTCACACGCACATCTCACGCTCTCAGTTACCCACTGTCAAAACTTCTGACATAAAGAAGATTAACCAAAAAGCCAACCAATGTCTTCCTCCCATTTAAAACAAATCAGAGCAGGAGCAGAGAGCTTTTGTCTTGGCTAAATAGGGTCATACATTCAGTATTTGCCCCATTTGCAACCAGCCCTATCTCCTTGCTTTCCCTATGGCACCTCTGCAATAATGTTTGGGAACAGGTCTTGCTCTGTATCAGCAAAGCCAGACTATAAATGGAGAAAGGTGACGTTTCCCCAGTGCAAACACCTTCCCCTGGCTTCAATACAAACATATAGAGCTTGCTGATGATGAGCCTCTGCTGGCCACAACCTTTGGTAAGACAAAAATCAGGGTTTCATTTATTCACATTTCCTAGGATTTCTCTTTCGTTTGTTCATAATTTCACACAGGCTTTAAGCTTTTTTGCTATATATATCTCAAGTAGAAATCCGTTTAACCAGAATTCCCTTAATAAAGGTTAAAAGATTTGCAGTGAAGAAATGTCAAAATACACTAGCTTATAATTGCCCTCAAATATGCAGTTTTATGTATTTACTTCATGGAGAGGAACCTTGGCATATATTTAATTAAAGAAATGGAACCTGCAGGAGGTCTGAGAATGGAGCTCATTGTATTTTGGTTTGAGGTGAATTTCACAATCTACTATATAGTTTTATTAATCTCCCCAAGCATGAACAAACTCCATCTATTTCTGTAGAAAATGGGAAGGAAATAAAACTTAGAAGCCCTTGGAAGTGGTTTTAAACATAGCAGGAGAAATTACAGTATTTAATGTCAGAATGTAGACAATTATTACAGAATAAATGGCTGCATGTGAGAGAAATAAACTTTGAACCAAGACTGCTAATTGATACTTCAACAAAGGAGACATTTTTATGAAATAGAAGTTCTGAAATAGACTTTTAGCACTTTTGTCAATTAACCAACAATAAAAGTTACAATCAGCACGGGGAAAGCCTACAATATGATTCCTGTTGACATCATCTTTTTTGATTAAAGCTAGAAAGGTTAACCTGAAGACCTGCAGAACAGGAACCCAAGAAGTGAAGCTCTGGTGAGCTTCCAAACACCAGCAACCGGATCTAGGAAAGAGTGCAGAAATATGTCAACTAAAAGGTTAGTTGGAGGCTAATATACAGCCACAGCTCAGCAGCACACAAAATGGTGCCACGCCAGTTGGAAGGCCACGAGACTTGTGGACAACCTTCGATAAGAGGTGGAAAACCTGATCTTGTGATACAAGTAAAAATAGGAAATGCATACATGTGATACTGTGTGTGCCAGGACCAGGGACATGTGCATGTGGGGAGCACCACTGTGAACTTTCAGTCTGAAGCCATGTCACATCATCAATGAAAATTACCTTCTCTCCTTCAGAAGAGGGAGAGTTTTAAGACCTCAGTGAGGCTAGCAAGGGATGGGTCTGGGGTATTTATAGGGGAATCTGTGACAGGAGCATGCTGCTATAATCTTTGACTTTGCTAAGGGAAAAGCAGTATTCTGTTCTGAAACAAAGACTAATGCTTTCCTCCTCCTCTCTCTTCTTCCTGAAATGCCAGAGCTAGAGAAAGAGTGACCAGAGTGGTAAAAACATGCAACAAAATGCTACAAAATGTGACTAATTCCATTAGTCAAGCAGGCTCAGGTATCAGAGAGTTGTAGGTCTAAAAACCCAAGCCAACCCTGTTTTCACTGCTTTACTCCTCTTCACTTCTACTTTTTCTCATAGGAGAGTATGGAGGTTAAAATGTGTGGGAATGGAGATATTTTCCACTGAAGTAAATGCAATTTACATGTAGGAAGGGAAAATATAAATTTCCATGGTGAAGCAAAGAATTTAAGAAACATCCCATACAAACCCAACTTGTTCATTAAGAAGAAAAAACCTCAACAAATATATTTATCTTTCCCTGGCTGGTGACTGAAATACTTATTGATCTATAAACCCAGAGTCATGTACCAGTCAGATTACAAGCATTATCTCTAAACAGCTCCCTTCAAGTCCCACATACATGGCAGAAAGTATAAAGTAGGCTGAGTTTAACAGCACAAAGGCCTTAAGCATATATTTTCAGCCAGAGGGAGCTCCTTACAGAAGATCTGAGACAAAGAGCTCTGTGTCATAGGATCACAAGGCTTGATTAATTGTGTGCATGCATTAGCCAGAAGTACTTCTTTCCTCACTGTTCAACATGTTCATAGTTGAGGTAAAAGAAGATTTCACACCAAAAGAGAAAACCCACACTGTTGTAATACCTAACTTCCATCTATCCCTGTGCATACCGGAATCCTCAGCCTTGGGTTAGAGACACAGGCATCCCAGTGTGCAAGGTCTGGCATAGGGGACAGAGTAAATCTGATACCTCAGGATGGGATTAGAGAAGCTGGAGAGGAGAAAACAGAAGCTGACCAAGCTGGCAGCAAGAAATGTCTACAAGAGGTCTTGTGGTGTAAAGTATTTAGTGGTGAGGCAATTAAGCAGAGGCAGTTACATAGCTACTGGTGGGAGAGAAGGTGGCACCTATCTCCTTTGGGAGTCTTGGCTGTAAATCCTCCCCTGGAGATCAGAAAAGTACTGAAAAAAACCTAACAGTTATCTCCCCCATGTTTTTTCCTTAGCCACATAAGAGGTAGGAAATCTGCTTTCAAGTCTTCCTCCTCTCTCCTCGCCCACACACCCAATTAGAAAGCAGATTTGAACCTTGGTCTCCCACTGAGGAGAGTGGCCTCACCACCACCTTCTCAGGTATTTGGGAACAGGACTTACTTAATACCCTCTGCTGAATCTGGTGTACTTTGCCATAGCTAATTAAATACCTGCATTCAATAATAAACCAAACCTGACTCTTACCTTTCTCTGTAAGGCCAGAGGATGAGGATATTCCCCCAGGATGTGACAGATTCAAGTTTAAATCACTATTCCTGAGGAGATGGGCTCAGATGTCTAGCATGAAAGGACTGGTTCTCAGAAGACTTTAAGGCATTTCCCATCCCAATAGGCATGTTCAGAGCATGCTGGGAGGTGATCCCATGTGCTTTCCTGCACCACTGTAGTATCAGCTGTACATGGAGAATCCCTCATAGGCACTCATGTTGCTTAAAATCTCTGGGGATAGATACTCCATGACCTCCCCAAGCAATCCACTCCAATGATCCCCTTTGGAGCAGCTTTGAGCAAAGCACTTAAACACTAGGGCATAAATACCCTTTGTACAACTAACTTCTGACTCAGTCCAATGTACTCCACTTTCAAAGGTGGCTCTTAACTATTGATGCTCTCAGTGGATGTCTGACGGGTTGCATATCTGTCCAGGAAATACAGCTGGAGCACTGCTCCTCTCCTGGATCACTGCAACAAGAGTGATGACAAGAGTGCTTGTGCTCATTGCACCACAATAAGTAACAGAGCAGAAGCAGCATTTTGCCAAGGATAGGAAAGACTGGCTGTTCCTCCACCTACTTTCAGTAGCAAGGGGAAGCATTAGAGTCCTCTTAAAGAGGAGAAAATACATGGACATGAAAACAGGGTGGGAGGATGAAACCTGTCTGCATCAGGCATCCTCCTCCCTCTGGTACTACAGATGCCCTATCAAGAGGAAAAGGTTACGTAATGAAAGAAGTCTGCCTACAAAGCCTGCTGCTACAAGAGTTTGCCAAGAAAAGACTCGAGAGAGAGTGCCATACAACAGCCTTAAAGTGAGACATTGCAAGCTAGAACCTCAAAGCAGGATCTCTGACTAATATCCTAGAAGGGATTAAAAAGATAGAAAGACCACTGAATCAGCCAGAAAAAGCATATAATGGGACATCTCTGGAGATTTTCACTCACTGATGTTACTGCTATTGCACATAATAATAATTCTCTTTGCTACTGTAGAGTGTGGAGGCTCGAGTGGCCAGAGCTGGTTGTACTTGCAATTCAACCAGCAAGGAGAAAATTTGAATCTAACAGTATGATAGACAAATTATCACACTGAAATTCTTTGATGTTCATTGACTGTCATCTCCTTAGGCCCATCTAACAAAGGCCAACAAAGAGAAACTGTGTCGCTGGCCACTGCCTTCATGTTGTCCAGGTAGCTTTGTCTTGCCCTGGTTTTGTTTCAGTTCTGTTACTCTTACAGCCAGGACCTGCATATGCACTGGCATGAAGGAAAGAAAATGGAGGTGTTTAAATACTTAGCTGCTCAGTGAACCATGAAATAAAACAGTCCTGATTTGATTGAAATTTTGGTTGACAGTTTGAGACTGCCAGAGACAGATGCCAGTAAGACTGTTAGTGTTCTCTAAAGTGGCCAACTTCTGATACTTCACTGATACTTCTGGAACCGTTTATCATTTGTACATACATACATGTATTAAATATACATTGCTGTCTTCCCTTGAGCACTGTGATTCACATGCTGATGGCATCAGGAGATCTACAGCAAGATGAGGACCCACGTGGTTTAGGGGGTATCGGTGTACTTGCCTCTGTCTGTCTGAAAGAAAACTAGAAGCTAGAAACCCCTGTGCCCCCTTTTTGAGCAGAGAGCTGAGATACAAGCAAACTGACTTACTCAAGATGCCACAGGCAATCTATGGTGGGGCTGGGAACCAAATCCAGATTTCCTGAATCCTATCCAGTGTCTTAACCTCAAAAGCATCCTTTCTCACTAATCAGGTATATCAGACGACTCATCAGACACCTATACATATATCTGCTTACCCTCAGATCTGTATACCTCTGTGGTCCTGAAAACTAGTTTGTTCTCTCCTGCCTCGCCCACAGAGGTTTGATAAGGTTGTTAAACCAGCTTAAAGACTTCCTTTGTTCTGATGACAGGCGCTGCAAATAGCAGCTCTACCCAAGACTCTGACCTTGCTCTTGAGGTCCTGAAAGATGAAACAGCTGTGAGATGGGTTATATCCACATGGAAACTTCCTCGCAGTTTGTGCCTTTTAGGTGTCTGTTGGAGAATCGATGGCTGGACGTGTCATCCTAATGAAGGCAGTGTAGACAAACTGCTGAAAGAGGATCCTCAGCAGTTCTCCAAAGCCACCTTACCTATAGACAGAAGGCAGGAAGGACATGGTCTGTTAAAACGTGCAGAGGTCTCAAAGAGAAGCCAAATGGTCTAGCAGCTGCCAGAAATCATGGCCCACTGAAGATCCTGTTACTTTACCCTCAGTAAATCCCACCAGATTAGAGAAACACAGACTCAAGAGTGAAAACATGACTCAAGAGTTTCGACATGAAAACGAATTTCAGGTGAATGTTAGCCATTAATTAGTCAATCTTCATGGAGAGAAGATCTGTCTTTCCTTTTCGAGAGCAGTTGCTGCAGACTTTGTCTCCAGGTGTGATCGAAGTCTGCTGTGTTAAAAAGAAAGTTGACAGAGGCAGCAATAGGCATGACAGGAGCATATGAGACTTCTTAAGCTAATCATTAAAGCCCAGGATCAAGAAAGCAAGTGCTTACATGTGCCTCTGATAGTCCTGTCGAGCCAAGAGAAAAAGGGGAGGTGGGGGTTTAACTCCTGAAAAAGTAACAGCTGAAAAGTGAGGCTGGTGTGATAAGATGGCAACTCCAAAAAGGGGTGATTCAGGCAGTAATGTATGCTGGTATTAGCTAAAAACACATAAGGAAAATGTTGTGAAACTGGCAAACCTTATGGAATTTAAGAAGAAATCAACAGTTTGAGAATTAGCCTATTACCATCAGAAAAAAACATTTTGGAAAAATTAACAAGGGATAAAATGTTATAACTGCTGTAGCTGGTGGCAAAACTTCTATAGATCTCAGTGGTGCCAAGACTTCATCCTAGGAGCCTTGTCATAAGAAAAGAAAATGCTACTATTCTGACCAACCAAAAGTCTTGAGTAGGGAGAGCTCAAGCTTTTCAGCTTTTCCACTTCCACTATTTCCACCACCCATGGATTTTCTGAGCTCCCCATAATACCAGTGTCATTCCCAAAGACTAGGATAGCATGTGGGTACATCAATGCTACACACTATAGTGCTTAAGTGAGTTAGCTCTAAAAGAACTAGCTTGAGGATGAGAAGTAATCCAAATTTATTAGCATGGTGCTCTACCTATGCTAATTTATTGTGCTAATGTAGCTATACCACTTCTAGGTATCCCTGAACTACACCGTGTTGTGAGATCTGGATCTGCCAAGAACACAGACGTGTCAGCAGGTTGAAGAGGAAGGCCTGAGACTAACAAGTTGGTTGGTAATGTGAGGTACACCAAAGGAGGCTATTACTGTGTGCTGCCTTAATGCCTTCTAATTTTTTTAATTAAAGCTTGGTTACAATATCCTGTAGGGAAAAATCCCTTGCTGGCAAAAGTCTAGGCTGAAAAACCTCACAAGCTCTTTTCTGGCATTAACGTATATTACTCTAAGTAGCAGTCCAGCCCAAACTTGTAGGAGAATAAAGCTACCACACTCCTACCGCAAAGACTGCTGTTCTTTGCCAGTAATTGCTGTTTTTCCATATACAAGGACCAGATCATCTACTTTCATTCAAAATGACTTATTTTAGATTAAGGGAAAACAGCAGTAAGAAGGGGGGCTGGAATTAAAATGAAAGGTCTCCAAGAGAGATCAGCGCGGGTTCACTTCCTCAACAGGCCGGAGCAGGCAAGAGGAAGATGGCTGCTGCCTCTGCACACATGCAGAAATTCCTCACGTTGCTGGCAGGCTTAAACGTTTCATTTATTACATCGGCCTCTCAGGGCTCCCAGTCATTTGGCTGTGCTGATATCAAGCCTCGCATATGGCTAAAATCCAATAAGGCAGTGACTGTATATGTCTTTGTACTTGGGATCAAGACAGGCACCCAGCTACATAAAGGTTTCGCTCCAGGAGACCAGCAATGCTGATGCTGCCAGTGCTGTCTCCAAGAGCACCCTCTGATACAGTTAGGTCTGAATTTCCCCACCTGATCATGTCCAAGCGCTACCTCATGTTGCACACTGAGAGAGCAAGTTATATGGGGAAGAAAAGAAGCATATTGTTAATTCTGTGCTTGTACCGTCTTAGTTGTGGTCTACAGCCAGATCCCATTGGTGTTACTGTAATACAGCACTAATAACAGCAAAACAGAGAAATAACACAACCACAGTGAAACTTCTGCTGGAGTTATCCTGGGGCCAAGCTGCCCCCAGTAAAGGCAGCTGCTGGCAGCTGCCTGCTCTCCCCGCTGGAGGGAATGGCAGCGCTGCAAGAAAGCGATTGATCTGTGGGGCTCCACACCAGAGCGACAACCTGATTTATGGTTATGTAGCTGCACTAGATAAAAGAGCTGTGGCCTTTTCCTTTCAGCATAGGTGTGGTCATCGCGTAATTATCCCTGAGAAGGTGGAAAGCATTAAAACCTCAGGAAACTCTTGTGCCAGTGAGTGTGAGAGTAAAGACTGTAAGCATTAGGCAGCTAAAATTACCTAAGAATTAATTCTACTTTCTCTGAGGCTCTGCTCATTTCCACCCCACACGCACGTACACTCTGGCACGCACAGACAAATACATGCACGCAAATACTAAACAAATACATTCACCTTGAGAGCATTATTGACTATTCGATATGGTTGGATTGCTTAAGTTAAAAACTCTCCAAAGAAAAGAGTTTGCAGATTTCTGTCAGCCAGAGATCTATTACTCATGCTCAACCATCTGGTATTTAATGAGAATATGACAAGCTGATTGTTATTTTTTTTCACATGGCGAATTGAAAAATGCGACTTTTTGATCTGTATTTTAATTACACCCCCTCTGATCTCTCTCCCTTGCACTTTCTTAGTAATGAATTTGGAGAGTTAACACACTCTGACTTTCCATATTAGCCCTGTTTCTTGAATGGCTAAAAAAAAGATGTCATTTCTTTACATTTCTCTGGTTCACCTGCGATCTGCGGAGGTTTAAAGAAAACTCTTTTCCTTCCAGCTGAAGAGCCAGGGAAGGGTTTCTGATGAGGTGAGACTGCTTGCCTCTGCAACAACCCTCGGTCCTTCCTGGCACCCTGTTTCCTTCATATCATTTTAGGTCTCATGGAAGGGGAGTTATTTCATGTTATAGGTGTTGCTATTATCAAATAGGCTCACGGTTTTGCTCAAATGCTGGAAACACAATAAGAAATAAAACCAAAACAAACACAAACCTCACTTTTGCCACAAAAAGAGGGGAAGATGTTGGAAGTCCTAGAAATGAGGATTTTTGTCAGACTGACCCCGCTCTATTTATGACAGGTTGCTGCCTGCTTAGTCGGGCCTCATGCCTATAGCTGCAGCTAAATCAGACTATGTATGAAAGCGTGACTTTAAAGGGACAGGACCCAATCACATGACAAGTTTTTGTCCAAGTTCCACTATCATGTGACAATCTACAGTAGATTTATGAAATTAAGCACAGATGGCTACTTTGTTTTTGTTCTTTGAACTGACAGCTGCTGGTGTAAAAATAAATTAAATTAAATTTCATATAAGTCAGACATTGCGATTTTTTTTTTTTTTTGTTAAATAATCTTTAAGGTCCCCCCCCCCCACATGCATACACATACATTTTAATGTTTTACTGGTTCTTCCTTCTCACCCCACGCTCCTGGCATAGCCCCAGGAGCCTTCCCCAGCCACCCTGGCAGTGACCTTCCTTCTCATCTGGGCATACACTTCCCAAGGGACATGAGGCATCCAGACCCTGTCCCCAAACAGACATTGAGTGGCAGTGGGGACAACCTTTGCCAAGCCTCACCAGTGGGCATAGCTGAAGCAGGGCCATTTAAAGCCACTTTGCATTAGGAAACCCAGTCAAAAGGAGGGAAAACCCCATGAATTCTCCACCTTACAAGCCTGGGGGAGAGTATTCCTAAGCCCTTAGGAACTGTCAGCTCTGAAAGACTGCATCTGCCAACAAAAGTAGGAGGATTGTTGTTAACTGAGCTGCTAATAATCCAATATATAGGGAAAAATGAAGGAAGATCCTTCTAGGTAAGGAAAGTAATGGCAGGTGCATGAAAGAAAATGAGCCGACTTTTTAAGAAAACAATGTTTCAGGATTAGCCAAAGGGCTCTCCTGTATTCACAAATCTCCAGGGAGCACTTTAAAAGTCTTCTGTGTTTGTATCACTTAAAGTGCTGCTATTTTAGGTCAGTGTAAATAAGTCATGTGTGCTGTCAGCCTTGTACGAGTGCTTTCTGCTGCTTAATAATATATGTGCTTGTCCATTATAGGGGCTACATGGGTATGTGTTGGGATCTAGAGGCAGTCATGCAAAGATCCTGTCTTTGGCATAGCTGCTTAATGCTTTGAGTGAGGGCATAGGGTATATACTTGTGATGACCTAGAGCAGGGCAAAGGCTAAACCTAGCTGTGATCACAGCGCCCAATACATAATTAATAAGAAACTGTCTCATGGTATCACTGCTTTCCTCCCAACAATCCAGCATTATTATCTTTTCTTTCATTTATACAGAGATATCAGGGTTTGAGGTAGGAGGGGGTTAACTGACCACATCAGAATACGTCCATTTGAATTACACTTCAGCAGTTTGCTGGGGTTTGGTGGGTGTTTGGGAATTATGTTTCAGATTCCCTCACGGAAGTGCTTGGCACAAATGATGCAGCATCCTACAGGACACAGCAAGCAGAGCATCTCAGGCCTGATATTCCCTTTGAATACATATAGATGCTGAGCTCCGGTCTCAGCTGTGGTTTGGGCATCCAACAGACTCCCACCCCTGTGAAAACTATTCAGGTGACTAGCCTCAAGTGAGAGCAGGACATTCTGAAGCTGAGAGCCTCACTGACCTGATATTCGTGGCTCCTGTATTGTCCGCTCCCTTTTGTGTCCCTGCTCTCTCTGGGTCTCTTTTTCCATTTATAAAATGGACTCGTCAGTATGGGGACTCTCATTATAAGTTTACCCAGAAATTAGCACAACGGGGTCCTGTTCTCCATAGCTCTCTAGGCAGGACAGCAGCAAACAGGATTAGTTTCACTAAGGGTCTAAACTGCACAATAGTGTCATGCAACAGTCTGAAGATAGAACAGAGAGCATGAACTTTCTAGATCGCAATCATTTGATCATTTTGCAAAGTTACAGTGAAATGCATAAGCAATTGCAAAAAAGTAGGCCTGTCCATGTTGCATAATTACTGAGTTAGTGCTGGAAAAGCACTCAGGTGTTAGGAACCGTTAAGTCCTGCTAGGAAGCCACCTTGCCACATATTCTTCAACCCATCTGCATGTTGCTGCCTCCAGCCAGGTAGGTATCCCATTGAATGTGAAGTGTGTTCTCATATTCTGATGCTTTACCTGGGAGTTTGTGGGGAGAAAATGGGTTAAAGTGCCTGTTTTCCCTGTTGGGCATCTGCAAGAGTTAATTAGGTGCTATTTGTAAACGATGTTGCCTTATGCTCCTGTGATTTTGCTCTCAGAGAAGTCAATTCAGATTTGCCATTCCTCCAGCAGAAGGAAAATCCACCCAATAAAAGAGCAAACTATTGTACTGGAAAAGCTAAATGTCTTGAGTCTGACTTGCTGGGAGGGAGATGCCAAAATACCTTTACAAATCTGTGCCTCAGTGCCAATGTCAGGTTTGCGAGGTGCAAACATTGTGCTTCTGAGAAAAAAATTGAAGAGGGTTTTGGTAGCAAAAAACTTGCCCAAACACACCTCAAGAGACCTGTGAAGGCTGCTGAAACTGAGCACAATGTCTGCAAAATTAATAGCGGAAGAGTTATCTGGCAACAGAAAACGGTACAAAGAAAAAAAAATTATTTAGTTTAAAATGGTCCTTTGCTTTGCCCTTCAAATGCTGCAGATCCTATTTCTTTGACAGAAAAATAAGTATGCATGTGCATCTATATGGCAAGTTTTAAGGAGAGGTTTAGAAACAAGGTTTTTAATTGAAAACAAAGGCACATCAGTTAATAAGCATGCATTAATGTTGAAAAGGCCCCATAATAGTGTTTCTTGTGCATATGTGGGAGTGAGGGATTGTAAGAACAAGTGGTGGCTGGCTGCCTGGGTTTATCAAAGCCTGGTAGGGCAGGATCACCTCTTTGTCTTTGCTGTGCTCAGAGTCATCAATCCCTCCTGTTCCTTCCGGAGCTGTGAAAATGTCAAGGGAGAAACTCCTCCTCCTCTAACAAAACCCAAGTGCTGTGAAAGCCCCAGTGACACGCAAACACCCGCCATGTCGGGCTGCTTGGCGAGGCCTGGGGAAGCTGAGCTGGCCCAGTCCCACCAGCTCTGCGGGCCAGAGGGGCTGGATAGAGCTCCTGCACGGTGGGATCTCACAGCCCGGCGGCTCTGCACCCTCCAGGGCTCGCAGCCCTCTGCAGAGCAAGTAAGGGCAGGCCTGCCCGGGCACCATGGGAAGGAGACGGACTTTATGTTACCCCTGAGCTGGGGCTGGCCACATTTCCATGCCCTGTCAAGGCAGTGCTGGAGGCAGTTTTACTTTATGGTTGCGCTCACACCTGAAACCACAGGTCCCAAATAGCCTCGAGCACACCCCGCTCCTCAGCGTTCCTGCCTCTTCTTCCCCTTCCCACTGCCTCTCTGCTTAGTTGCAGACCCTGAAGTCGACCCCTTTTTAACAAGGCAACCCCCAGCCTGCCTACCCTACTTTCCCCAACCTGTAAACAAGATCCCTGAGCCGGCTCCAGTGTTTATGGAGGCCCCGGAAGGGCCTTGCTGCCCCCTGGGATGCAGCGCCCTGTGGAGGTGACTGCCCTGGTCTCTCTGCAGAAAGGCAGGGTCTGTTAGATGCTGTGATGGGACACAAACAGGGCAGACGGAGAGGAATGCAGACAGGGGAGTGGGGATGGCTGGAGGGGCGGAGAGGCAGCAGGAAGGTGGCCAAAGGCGGAAGGGAAGGCTAGAGGACTAGGAGGAGGGTGGAAAGGGTGGTGAGGTACAGGATGATACAGAGATGTAATCTAAGGCAGTGCTGTCCTGAGCCTCCAGGCGGGGAACCAGGTGACTGAGCATGATCTGGGGGAGGCAGATGCCTTCACAGCACCTGCAGCACAGCCCCCACCCAGAGGTAACGCTGCTCATTATCTCACTGCCAAAGCTCTCTGAATCAATGCAGCCCACATGCAAAAGGCTGAACACCAAAGGGAGAAGTTCGAACAAGCATTGCTCCATATGCTGGTGTTGACAAGCTGGAATCACAGACTTTCGCTTTGTCTTTACCTGGTGTGATGCTGGGACAGCATGGGGGGGCCTTTATACTGCCTGTTTCCACAGCAGGATCAGAGGCCTGAGGTGGTGGCTGAGGGAATGCCAGCCCCTTGCCACAGTGTGAATAAGTGATGGTTTGTGGAGGTACCTGTGCATCCTGTGGCCTTCTTCTGTGTTCAGATGGGGGCTGTGTGCAGAACAGCATTTTCCCAAGCATGCTCAGTCAAATATTTCTCTGCCCTCCATTTTATTGCTAAATGATTCCACCAGAAACATCCAGCACAGGAAGTGATTTCATGAGGGAACAGCCAAAGACAAGAATCTGAACCAGGTAAAACCCCAGATCAGTAGCACAGGATTAAACATAGGATTTGCCCCAGCTTGATAGTCTTACTGTGCTTGTAATTAGAAGACTCTTTTCTTCTGATTGCAGAGATAACCTTCTAAGTGTTGCTAACCTAAGCCAAATCAGTCTCATACACTGAAGCCTGCATATATCCTAGAACAACAAATATCAGTGAGAAATAGATACCATCCTAATGTTGTCCACAAAGCATCATTGTTGTGCCAACAATTCTCTAAGTGTTCAGCTCTTGCTTTCCCTTTGCTGTTGGACATCCCGGCACAAACTGGTGGTAACCTTTTCAGTGTGGTGCTGGCTTTGCCAGGAATGCTCATGACCCCCAACTCTTTTAGATCATGTGAGATTGAGTGCAAGGGACAGAGAAAATGAGGTTCCTTCTCTGTAAATTCTACTTAAAATTTCAAAATCTGACCTTACCTCCTACATCCTCTACATTGCCCAGATCCCCTCCTTTCCATCCAAAGTATCCAGTACCCCACAGCACCTCCCTCTTTGTCACTTAGGAGCATTGGCAGCACATTAGGGAGAAATTTAGGGTATTTATGTAGTAAAATATAACATTTCTACAGTGGTAGGTGAGGAGACAGGTGGATTAAATGAATCTATTGAGGTGCATCCTACAGTAAAAGAATGAGGCCATGTCATGCTTTCTTCCCAAAGAACACTGTAAGACAGTGCACTTGCTGTGCTCAACATGGTCCATCAGTCCTAAGGATCTCAACTTTGGGAAGAAGAGCCATATGACCATATTGCCTTCAGCGTTTCCAGGGACAGCAGACAGGGAGCTATTCTGAGGGGCAAGTCAGTAGCTGCCTCACAGCACAAGCAGGGATAGGAGAGATAACCTTAGTGGGAGACTCAACAACAGAAAGGACTGGCCCACACTCCTTCTCCCTATCCCACTTCATGCTCTTGTCTGCCTCTGTCAGCCCCAGTTTCCTTTTCTTATTCCAACCCCCGCGGCACAGGCAGGGGAATAGGTCAACCCAGTTTCCTAGAATAGAGACACATACTTCTTCACCACGGTTAGCTGTTGCAGCCTTTGGGAGTTGTTATCCTCCCCGCACAGGAAAAATACAGGAAGGAGGCTTACATCCCACACAGATTTAGGAAAGAGCTATCTTCTAGTACTGGGGAGCACAATGTGAGCCCTGCTGTCTTCAGTGGCAACCCCAGCTATAGAAAGCAAAACCTGTAATGCTACTGCAGATTTCATTGCCTTCAACAGCTACTAATAAGCCATTAAAAGCTACTTCAAATAAATCAAACTAAAATATAGCCCCGGATTGGCTTGTGGCCTCAATACACATTAAGAATTTATGCCTGCCAGCCCAAAGTTTGTAGCAAAAGATGTTTCTTAGTGACCTGGGAGTAGGTATGTAAATAGTGAATTAGCAAAATGTCCGAATGACACAGAATTTTTTAGGTTACTCAAGACTGTGGGGAGCTACGATGTGTTCCAGCAAGACCTGACCAGACAGCATGATGGAAGATGAAATTCAGCATAGACATGTGCAAGCTAATGCACACTGTAGGAAATAATTTAAGCTTTCATACATACCAGGGGACTGTGAATTAGTGATGAGAGGCATTATGGTGGACACACAATGCCTTCAGTGAAGCTGGCTGCTCAAAGTACAGCCTGGGTCAGAAAAAGATTGAGGGAAAATTCAGCTATCTAAAGGTGAGTGGGCTGATACTTACATTGGAGAAACCTTCTGGGTCAGGCTGGAACATAATTTAAAGCTACCTGGGAATGAGGCAGCTCTGGAATCAATTCTCTCTCTTTGCCTGAGCCAGGTCTTCCAGGGCTCACGTTTTACACATCGAGAAGGTCAGAATTAGTTGTCAAGTCTTGTAAAAGATCTGGACCCCACTGAATTCTTTATCCATCCATAAAGTCCTTGAAAAGTGATAGATATCCTGACAAAGGCTCAAACTTGGCAATTAAATTCCCATGAGCTAGAATTAGAAAAGGTGTCCCACTTACATGAATAGATTGCATAAATAGTATTTGGAGATAGTTTCAACAAGACAGGTTCCCTGGGTTTTGCTGTGAAAGAGCTAAATGCGCCCTCAACATGAGGTACTAGTGCAGTGTCACCAATACCAAATCCCCCTTACAGTGTGGAGTGGGAAATAGGAGTCTTTATTTTTTTTCTCTTTAAGATAAGGGGCATAAAACAATGGCTGGGAATAAAAGCCCTGTAAATTAATTTGTATTATAATATCTGCAACGCCTTTGGAAAGTTATGTGCATAATTTATGGAGGATGGTATGGATTGGAGTCTCAAAGCCCCTCAAACACGCTCATTCAGGCATGATTCAACACTAACTCTCTCAGACAGTGTGCAGATTGCAATAGTAAAAAAAAAAGATCACTCTAATACTGTGTGTTACAATAATAAATGCGGGAATTAGAGGGTTTTACCTCTCTGTAAATAAATTATGCATATGTAGTTTTAAATTAACCAAATTAAATGATTAAAGACACTCCATTCCTTCATAAACTTGTCTCAGGAGTAAGGAATGCAGCATACAAACAGAGGTCTCTGGTTCCTCTGAGCCTCACTGCTTCATTTGGAGCAATCTTAGATGCACTTCCTTTCCTCCCAGCTTTGCAAGTATAGAAGGCATTTTATTTTCCCTTCAGCTAATTATTTCATATAAATGCAAGTGTTGAGACTAGAAGCACCACATTTGTTTGCATCCCCTTTGGTGGGATGTTGCTGGTGCTGGAGAGGTATTGTGTGGCTCCTCAGAAGTCAGCCTGCCCACAGCCACTGGTTCCAACCAGTGCCTCTGGATTTAACCAAGGGAGTCAAACAGGTGCAGCTCTTCAGGACTGGGCTGGCAGTGTAAGTGGACAACATTCCTGAAATGCAGGTCCATAGTGCCTCATCTCCACAAAGTATCATTGTGATATTTTGTCACTGATGACATGATTTGTCCTTGTGTGGGGCACCATGGTACATGCTACCATGATTCACACTTGGCTGCAAATATTGTTGCCCATTTTAACGTGTGAGGGAGTTCAGGTCATAGCTCAACACACTCATTCCTTATTCATTTCATGAAATAGCATTATAGCCTGAAGCCTAAACTCACCAGTCACAAGTAGAAGAAACTGCAGAGATTTGAATAGTGCTTATTTCTCAGTATTACCGGTGTTGTCAAGCCACTGTATTACCAATAGGGCTTCACTCTGCTACATCCTAGATACCAAATTACCTCAGTCCTTCCAGGGAATCTCTGACCATTGAGATGGGTTTTGAGAGTATCTATTACTCTCAAAACACTTAGCTCAAAATGCCTTTTTTTAGGCAGAGAGGCAGCCACATTAAAACAGAGCCCTTTCTCACGATCACAGGATAGGGCAGTGCAAGAGCTGGTATACTTGACCCTCAATATACCTTCTACTCCTGGGCAGCATCACCTCCATACACAGTGGTTGTTTTGTCAGCTGAGCCACTGCAAGGTGTTTATACTTTGCTCAACAACCCCGAGTAACTTGGTTCCTAGACAGCTCAAGCATTTACAGATGTTAAAACTTACTCATTCTGCATTAACAAAAGGGTCTACTGAGATCTGCAGGTTAAACAAAGTCAGGAAAAGTCTACATAATACAGCTCTGTAGGGATAGAAGGTGTAATGGGTTTACACTTAAACAGGGGAGATTTGGATTGGATATAAGGAAGAAATTATTTTCTGTGAGAGTGGTGAGGCACTGGAACAGGTTGCCCAAGGAAGCTGTGAATGCTGTATCCCTGGCAGTGTTCAAGGATGAATAACCTGGGCCTTGAATAACCTGGTTTAGTGTGAGGTGTCCTTGCCCATTGCAGGGGGGTTGGAACTAGATGATCTTAAGCTCCTTTCCAACCCAAATCATTCTATGATTCTGTATTTCTATGATTTTGCACGTCCCTGCTAGGGAAGAGTACACAGGCT